GAGTGTTCAATCAGCCTGCCATGCATGTATTTGGAATGTGGGAGGAAACCGGAGTACCCGGAGAAAACCCATGCAGTCCCGGGGAGAACATGCACATTCCACACAGGGAGGCCAGAGCTGGGATTGAACCGGTACACACACACACGCACACACGCACACACACACGCACACACACACGCACACACACACACACACAATATATATATATATATATGTGTGTGTGTGTGTGTGTGTGTGTGTTTGTTTTTTGTTGAACAAACTAAGTGAAATTGGATAGGTGCCCCTAATTATCTCTCACTGCATACTGGTCTGGAATCGATTGCACTGATCGTAATTTTCCCAAGTGCATGCGGTTTGTGTTTAGTACGATAGGGGGAGCCCCTATGTTGTATAATGGCCAAAGCCTTTTAGGGGATGTTGTTTACGAAATCTAAATGAGATCACAGGCGTGTTGGAGGATTAGGATCGTTTTTAACATTGTTTTCGTGGTTGTTATTATTCTTGTTGTACTTGTCTTAATGTGAAGAACGACATTAAAAACATTGAAAGAAAAAAAACAAATAGTACACCAATCAATTATTTTTAATTAAACTCAGAAATAATTACTTGACACAAAGCAATTATCTACACTTTAATCGTTATTTCACCGTTCAAAACATTCCCTTTAAACGAAGGTCGCACAATCAAGCCCAATAGGGATTTAAAAATAATATACTTTTTCTGCTCCGATAGATTTGTGTCTTCAACCGCCAAAATCAAATAGAGATTTATAAAAGTGTCTTAGGGCGGTATTATATTGGAATAAGTCTTCATAGGTTTGTTTATTTGTAGTATTAACTCTAACACCATGTGTCCCTTCTCCCCTCTCTGACGAATAATGGTACGGCCCTGCCCATCTGTTCAACTCCGCTGGGACTGATTGAAACAGATTGAAGAGCCCGGCGAATCGCTATGGCAGCTGAGCCAGTCAGCCTGCGCGAGCAAGTTTTATCGGAAGTGTTTCATTGAACTTTTGAACCTTAAACCGCTTTCTAATGTGAGAAACAAACGTGACACAATTTGTCCAGTCTGAAAATGTCCCAGGGATGTACAGTTTCTGTGGAAGAAGTCCAGTCTTGGTGGGAAGTGCCCGCCATAGCCCACTTCTGTTCGCTATTCAGGGCAGCGTTCAACCTTCCCGACTTTGAAATCGAGGTAAATAAAATCGTGTCTTAACGGCAGTAACACCACCATTCCTTATTGTAGAAATGAAATGTTGTTTGTGTCAGCTTTTCTCTATGTTCGCTCTGCTAAGGTGTTTTACGAACTACTAGCCAATTGAGCTATGCTCTTTGAACTTCCACCCTTTAACGTTAGTTACTACTCCGCAACAACCTAGCTAACTGATTAGCAACGCTAAAATTTAAATTAACCTGCTAATCGATCGTCAGTAAAGGTAACCCGAGAGACCGAATTGAGATCGAATGAATTAAGACGGTTAACAATGAGGTTGTAGTTGCTTGTTGCTCTATATTCAACGAAGGCGTTCATGTGCACCTTGAGTTGATATTCTAAAAGACCGACGCTCCTCATTGTCCATTCACTCAAGAAATCGTTCATACATCACATAATCTCAATTGAAATATGAACATTTGGGGACGATAATGTCCTTGTGATACAAAATAAAACTTCAAAAGTTTCAAGTTTGACATAGAAGTGTGATAATGATAATACGGGGTGTATTCAATAAGTTTCCTCTGCTTTATTGTGTATTGTTTGTCACATTAAGTTAAGTTCATGGCGTGGGTTTGGCAGTTTATTGTCTTGGAGTCGTCAGCCATCTGGCTTGGGGAGCGAGACGCAGATGCTTCTCGGGCATTGTTTGCTCCCCCCGTTTGTGAGTGAGTGAAAAGAGTTGGTTCAAAGTGTGCTTGCTAATACCGCTTTGAGCTGAAACACAATGCGTTAATTCCGAAATGTCGACAGCTTGGCAACTACAGTATACGACTTGATTTTGCCACTTTATTTATTTATTGAAAGTTGTTATGCCCGTCTGTCACAACAAGCAGCGATTACTGCGTGAAGAGTCAATGGTGACAATTGATTGCATGGCACTGACTTCAAATAAAATTTTCCGGTTACCCTAAATGCCTTTATTGCCCAATCATCTCACAGCCAGCAGGGTGGAAACGCCAATTTAAGCTTCTTTGAAGAAATGCTCAGTTTAACTATTCGTCATGCGTCACCGTGACTCACTAAGCACAGCATACGTGCATACCAAACACCCGCCATTCCACATTGAGGTAATTGTAGGAACTTCATTTTATGATGTCTAAATTCACAAGTGGTCAAGGTGATACTTTTACTTACATATCATGTTTTAATGTTGGATATGGGTGAACTGAAGGGAGACTGTCTATATGCCGGTTGACAATTGTTGTACATATCTTGTTGACAGACCTAGAAGGCACGTCTCTACTCAATCTCCTATTGCAGGATGCTGTTGTATTTTACATTTTCAACTCAACTTTTATTTCTGCTGCACTTAAACAACCACAGCTATAACAAATTGTACATAAAACACAAGACAATAATTAAAACAGTCATACATAACAAAATATGCCGTCCTAATTAAAGCATGCACTGTCACTGACATCTTAATCTCACACTCGCAGTGTATATAACTTTACTCACGGATGCTATTAGCTGACTTTGAAAGTACATAAGCAAACAACTGTAGTTTTCTAGCAACCGATTTTTTTTTTCGTCGCGAGTAACAGAGATTATTGGTCCTATTCTCTTGTCCCATTTTGTCATCGCTGTCACGATCTCTTCCCTGAATGCATTTTAGCACCCCGTCGCAGCCTTCTACACATCTCCTCTGGCAAGCATTTGGATCCAATTTGATTGTTGAGGGATGCAACTGACATTTCCCCAAAAGATGCATTTCAGCATTAAAATAGTACATGGGCCAGTATGTTTCATCCTGATTGCCATCTTTGAATCTCTCTCTCTCTCTCTCTCTCTCTCTCTCTCTCTCTCTCTCTCTCTCTCTCTCTCTCACACACACACACCCCTTACAAACACTCTTGCGCTGTAACTTTCTGCAGTGGCTTCACAGGGGCGCCAAGAAATCTTCAAATTTTTTTTCACCCCAGATCGACAATCACAACCCCTTATTTTTTTCCCAACTGAGCTGTACAGGTTTTTGGCTATGCCTACACTGCAGGGCGTGATGCTCAAGTCGCTTTTTTTTTGTTGTTGCAAACCTCACACAGGAAGGCTGGGGCCCTGAAACGAAACCATGACTGTGATGACGTGCCAACCTGTTGACCACAGTGCCACCCTGAAATAAACATATGTTGAAATTAGTGAATATAGAAATATTACCGCTGACTAATATATTCGAATAAATAAAAAGTTAAAAAAAGGACCGAGTTAAGTGTAGGTAAAAAAAAAGTGGTGAAAATGAGACAATGCTCCTCGATCTCCTTATTTCATCTACTCAAGATGATGTCACATCATTGTCACGCTTATTTAATGAACTGTCTAGGTGGCTGAGTTATTACTATCACCACAAATGTCCTTTAGTCAAATATAAAACTAACACTACTACTCTTCACGATTTTGTAGCTCCACAGGCGATTGGAAGTAGACCGCTGTCCGTACGGGGTGCCTATTTGGCATTGAGTGACACATCAGTCAGATGAGCGAGACCTGAGTGGACCAAAGAAATGTGAAATTCTGAGTCCTCTGGACACTGTACAAATAAACAAGGCAACTAGTCAATTCACTGCTAATGATTTGATTATTAAGTGTAAGCAATGACCGATAATTTGATTCTTGATTAATTGTTACACCTGTAGACTAAACACCATTTTCTGTCTGTTAAATTCAAAATCTGTTAAATCAACGTTCCACTGTCAAAGGAAACAGATTTAACGCCACATCCCTGCAACAGGTGAAGCCGGTTTGGCCGCTGTCACAAATGACACACTCTACAATGACTATCACTTATGTCCCCCTTTATATGCACGAGAGCGGGTGGATGGTTCTAAGTGTAAATTATGTTAAATGAATCAACTCAACTCTATTTATATAGAGCTCTCACAACAGTCACAGCTGCCAAAGCGCTGTGCACAAAATATACATAACCAAACAAAAACTTCACATCCATCCAAAATACACCACATACCTCCTTTCATAAATGGCGCTTTCCATAGAGGAGGTGCAAAGTTCTATTAACCTCCTCTTGCACATGAATGAAGCATAATTGTTTGTGAGAGAGGAGAGATTGACATTGCCTTTGGCTGGTGTGAGGGCGCCGGGATTATAGATGTTGCCCTCACACTGTGCGTGATGGCACTCAAGTTTGGTACAAGCAACATTTGCAAGTAAACCAAGCCAACTGAGCCATGGTTGGCTGATGGTTTTGTAGCCAATTCCAGCATTGTCTAAGTCAACAATTTTATCCCTGCCATCTTAGGACGGCTCATTTTGTTTTTTCTTTAGAAAGAAAAAATATTTATGACACAAACAGCTGCATTTGAGGGGCACCTAAGGAAAATGTATGCTACAGTATATATAAAATCTAAGCAGTCTACATGAACATATACTCTGTGTATATGCATGTTTGTATATCCTGTTTATGTTAGTAGCTGGGCTGTTTAAGTTCTGCCTCTTAGACGTACTTACCAAATCTGACCGGTGCAGTCAGTCTAGTACCAAGCAGAGCATTTCAGTCGATCGTTTGAAGCATTGGAGGCAGCATTGGCTTTCAATTCATTCACTATTCATTTCATTTCTTGCTACTGAAACACTTTTTTAGGCAATGTTGGATGCATTTATCCAACCATACACAAGTTTTATAACTTTATATTTTGTCATCTGTAGGGTTGCCTTAGTGCACCTCACTCAACGTCCACACACGTTGTCACCACTTGACCAGCTACCCATAGCTACTAACAGAACCTCTCCCCGATCCTATTCTCTTTCCCCATCACTAAGCCCCAGTCCCTGGCATTACCATGACTAAACCCCAGATGGTGGGTATTTCTTTCCCTTCCCCCTGAAAGGTGGAGGATTTTCACTCTGACTGGATGCTAGCTGCTGCATCTGAAGAGGGGTTGGTTATTATTTATTTATTTGTTTGTTTGTTCATTATTCATTTTCTTTCTTATGAAGCCCGGTGTTTGTGTATAGTTTGGTCATGTTAGATTTGATAAATGAGTGTGCAATCTGCCTGTCAGGGGGTCTTTGTTTCTGTTGTCTACAAGGCCAATGGATTAGTACCAGCGGGACAATGACGTTTTTAAGTGTAACAGAAAATGCTTGGATGGATGTCTTCACTCACTTGGAGAAAGAATTCACATTTTCGATTTTGACCTGACCAAACTGGGGCCCCCAAGCAAAATTTGATTTTGGAGGACCACTGAGCTCAACCCACCTCTCTCCATCCCAAATGTATCATAGGATCGTTTTCAGGCTTCTTCACAGCTTGCTGATGAGCTGATCATTTGAATGTGTTGCAGTAGGGCCACATCTAAAACAGGCAGGACAGCGGCCCTCAAGGAACGAAGCTGGACATGCCTGGTCTAGACAGATTCCTATCTAATGAATAGCAGGATTGTGCCACAAAGTTTTATTTCAACAACATATCCACCTTCAAGTGAAGCTTTGGATTCCTTTTGTTTTTCCTTTAAAATTTGTATTTATTTAACTTTTTGCTTGTTCCCGACTCGTATCACTTGGACGACACGTTCTGCAAGTGCAGGTCGAAGCGATTCATTTAGATCGGTCAGATGTCGAGTCTCATCATGGCTGCAATCACTGCCTCTCTCTTTCCTGATGCAATTGGTGGTAATTTGTGTACTTCACAGGAGCACTAGCGCGAATTGGACGCAACTATGGCTGTAAATTGCTTTTGCTATGTACTCTGCTCCTATAGCATAATCTACACTTAAAATGGCACATGTGTAATATTTTTAAAGATTTAAAAAATAGACTTTTTAATGACGCACTACATTTTGGAGACATTTAGGGGGTTCGGATCTTGGAAATGTTTTGTGTTGGGTGTGGTTTCAACTGATTTATCATCATAATTGGGAACTCTACTATGAATTTGGAGTTTCAAGGCCTTTGTTGGGGCTCCAAATATGGCTACAGTAAAAAAAATTACAATTTTGGACCGCCTACTTCAGGCCACTAGTTGGCCA